AATATGTGATCTTTCAAGACCTAGCGTTTGCCTATTATCTTTTCACTTTTGTTTTGTTTTTCCCTTTAAAAAATAAGTTTGACTAACCTACTCTAAGAAGAGAACATGGATTATATGTGAGATGTACTGGTAGTTTCGAAACCCTACTTATAAACGAAATCATGAAATGTATTCTTCGTTATATCTTACCTAGACCTTAAATAATCAAACATTTTAATTTGATATAAAGCATAATTTTCTGTTATCCTCATTCTTTATAGTAGTACATTATGCTTTTCATTGTATCTTCTCCGTTTATTATCTCGAACCATTCTTTGTGAAAACACACGAACGATATAAATAATATTCACGGTTAACTCCTCAACCTTAGTTGAAGCTCACATGCTTTTATAATCCGCTGGCTGAAAACGTATAGAGAAGTTGCATCTCAATAGTGTTGAGACGAACACAAGCGATTTTTTTACCAACAAACCCCCTCTTAATCGACTCAAATTCCTCTACTGCTAATCTAAATAGGTTAAGAATTTGGCTTTTCTCCATCGGGACATAAAAGATAATGTTACCTCCTCATGTTGTCTTAATGCCCTTTCTTAGCGTTCCCTTTATTTTCCTCTCTCTATTACTCTATTTTCCCCCATAAGCAGTTCGTAAGTGCAATTTTCGCTAACTATCTGCTTAAAACCGCCTATTCACAGCTCTTGGCACCTCGACCCTCCTAAATTATTTATAACCTCTTAGTTTGCTTATTTGATCTTCACACACGCCCTTTTATAAAAGCCTCAACTTTGTACGTATACAAATAACGAGTCTTAGCGAAGAGAATAGCTTTAATAATTTTCACGTATATTCTTTGATGAAAGTTTATGCTAATATAGTGTCAAAAATGTGCACAAAAAGTGTCTGGCCTAGACTACTTTTGGATGAGGCTTCACATGAAAGCTGTATTCATATTGAGCATGTCTCGATACTATCAATAGATCTTAAATTATAACGTGAATCCCTCTAGGCTTCTTAAGGCAATTTAAGGATTACTACGATTATCAATACCGGGTTTAGAATCCCTGAAGTGGGGCCAATTAAACTGTGTCAAGGATGAAACTTTAGTCCTTCAGGGAAGAGAAATAATATTGTGAGGTAAGGCTAAATGAAATTCAATGTTATCCTAGGGCCTAATCACTTCCTTGTGGGAAAGTTAATGCTCAAGCAGTAAATCAACTTGAGGGACTCAAGTTTTTGTTTAGGAATCAGCAAAAAATATGCTCAAAAATGTCTATTTAGCCTAGTCCAGCACAGGAAAAGTGTTAATATTTACTAAAGTGGCCCTCCATTTTGACCTTTGTAAGCTCAACTAATATCATAAGTCTTAAACTATAAATGCAACTTAGTATTTTCCTTTACTGTTCTCTTTTTTTCAGGTGCACAAATTTGGCATACGAGCCCTTAGTTTAACCCCTCTATTGCTTCATTAGTTTTACTTATCAAAGCAAGTCCTGGGAATATGACATTTTGATCTGCTTCTTGACTCTTCCACTTTATAGATTAATAATCAACATGTAACTTGGGTAGCTCATACCGCTCGGATCTTGTTATGACTTGCTGATCAAACATTCCCATTACTCTAAGTGCTTTTTAGTCCTCAATAAGCGGGATAGTTAAGCATTGAATGGTTAATCTAACTAGAAAAGCACTGATTTACATAAATAGCAAATAGTAACGTAAAACCTACCATGATTAAATCTCTGTAGGATTTAAGTGGTCCCCTCGATATAGGATTTTATGATCACTCCTACACAGCCATGATTGATTAGTCACAATTGTGATTTCTTATTCTTGTCATGCGAGAATCTGGCCTTCAGAAACAACTGATATATTTTATAATTCGACAAAGGAAGCGATTAAAGAATCTAATTAACACACCCCAAACATTTATTTTCAGCTTGAAAAAGCTCAGAAAATTTCACTGAGAAGGTCGTCATTGCAAGTTCCCCGTAATATGACAGAATGTTACTCGCCAAAACCTAATGCTGGAAAAAAAATAGGGCATTCTGATTATTCCAATGCTGCCAGTTGTCTAATAGCGCAGACCAAAAACGAATGCTGCTGCAGTTCACAGGTGAGTAAAGAAACCATTTTACAAACTGCAGACTATAAATCAGTACAAATAACTTAATTGAATATTTAATATGCTAAAATAGACTTGGGTTTGGATGCAGAATATACTGAGACTTGAACCAGATTGTACCGCCTCCGTAATCACGATTAATCTTGACAAAATTTTAAAGTATAATAAAGATGGCTCTAGAACCAAGAATTCTGGAATATTCGGTTGCATTTGCGTGCTAAAGGAGAATATGATTAAATCCAAAACGCATTGATTCGAACTATTGTCTTATTACTAATGACTACAGCTTAATTGGTTACTGATGTTTTATGTACAATTTATTTATTATGTAGTTATCGACTACTTTTTAATGTATTGAGAGTAAATCTAATCAAATAAGACTTACCTGGGTTTGTCAACGCCTATCACAAGTAGGAAAATCGGACTCTTGATGGGCTATTAATAAATTATACCAAGATGCCATTACTATGCTTTCTATATGACATGTCACAATTCTAGCGATCAAAAGTGGGATAAAATTGATCACTCTGTGAATAACGGGTTATGGTTTCCACCTGGATTATTAGATTTCGAAAGATCTAGCAGACTTACTGCTTGCAATTTTTTACATGACGCAGAACTTAACGGAATAGGGGTTGCCAACCTGATTTATTAATAATTTAACAGAACATTCTGTCGCATATGATTACATCAACTAGTGATTAAAAATGCAACACATTCTGTTTGAGCATATAGTCAAGGTCACTATGATATGTGAGTAATTTTATATTAAACTGATTTGCATTGGACTCGTCAGCGTAAATGACTACCTGTTTCCGTCTTGCTTGCTATTTTTATTTTCTTTATCCCCACATAAATGCAGGAAGAATTTGCGATCAGCCTTTCCGCCACAAAAGGTTATGTCTTGAGCAACAATAAGCTGGAAACTTCAGCAGACCCAACCCCAACTATGCCTCATTGCACCTGCTCTGTTTTGAAGACAGATGCGATAGAAACCGGCTTACTCGTTGGTGCTGATATGCGTGAGACTAGCCACCAAAATGACCATATCATGTGTGAATGTGGGAACGGCATATCAAAGACTATTGAAGTAAACAATCCCACTTTTGAAAGGGATTCTCGGTCATTCGATTTGAGTAAACAGGACCATCATTTTGACACCGACTTCATAATAAACGGGTAAACAGATCTGAGAGTAGATCTTACTTTTACATGCCTAAAGCCTTAAAATTATGAATTTTAGGCTTAAAAATGAGTCCTGATTTGTTTCCATTAAAAGGGACGAAAAAACAAATTGTCGCAATAAAAAGTTACCTTTCATTAAATTTAGTTGATGAATATTGTGTAAACTGAATTGTGTCATTAGCGGCCATATTAATTCTTGAGTCTGAAAATCCTATATACAACAGGATGTCTGTCTAAATACTGTCCCTGTAGTTGATATCAGAGACATTCGTTAAAGAGCCAAAATTATCCGTTCAACTTTGACTCCATTCTTATAAACTTTTCATGCTAACTCGTCAAAATTGGGCTCAAATTGATGTCATCCCCTAGATAATTCCGACTCCAGCCCACAATATATTGCTCTTTTAGGTAGTCAGGTACTTATTTATTGTTTATGGCAAACTAATAATTCAGAAAGTCAAGTATAGCATATCATTCCATTCCAAGCATTCACGTCAAGACAGTGCTAAGTTTAGTGGTAACCGTGGGGAACGTTCTTGCATTTCTAGAGCTTTTGATAGAGAATGCTTCGCACTTCCTGTTGTGCAGTACTTGTCTCACACGAAATCAATGTTAAAAACAGTAGAAAAGTCATGCGAAAGCGAAATATGCAATCGCCTCTTTTCTCTTCACTCCAACTCACACTGCTTCCTTAGCTTTAAGAAGCAAGATATGAGGGCATTAAGCTGGTGTTAGAGCGCATGCATTGTCACATATGTCATGCATTTATATAGCCAGCAATAAAATTTGTAAGAAATATGTTAAGCAAGAAAATCTTTTCTGCCCAAAAATTATTTGTCAAAATTGTGAGCATCACAGTGGCAGTAACTATGATATTCCCAATAAACTTGGAGCTGCTGTAATTATGAAGGTCATTGTTGCAATCGTTTAAGTGTTTCATTCTACACATTGCTGTCAATCACGACTCAGAAGTAATCTATAAAAAAGGTAACCTGAAATCCCATATTTGACCAAGTTGTGTTATAGTAATTATGGTATATCGAAGCTAGTTTATACTTCTGTAAATTTGCTGCCCTAGTTCGGTGTAACCCTGGCGCCAAGAGAGAGTAGTTCGTCTCTATGATAAATGGCCTAAAAGTTGTACTATTTGGTCAATAACATTTACCTCATCAAGGCTTTTATATTGACAACTAAAGTTTGTGCAAATTCCGGACACGGGGCTGTTTGCTGAATGCGTTTTTGTGGCATCAAAAATGCTTCACGGCAAAAGCCCAACAGATGAAAAGCATCCCCTAGTCGAGTTTTAATTAAGTCAAACTTATGGGCCTAATTTTGTTTAGAGGATTTGTAAAATGGGTCATCTCAAAAGCCAAATATTTATCAACTCACCAGTCTTTTTATGAACTTACTTTTCATTGACACTAACCACTTAGCATTATACCTTTCATTATAAATCACAGTACTTTTCACATTTTTAGTTTCCATTTTTTTGCTTTTAAATATATTTAATTTTTTTATCCATTAATTCCACTTTGCAATGTCATTTTTGTTGTAATTATTAAGATTTCTTTATCCTGAGTGACTTTGCATATAATCAACCTGCCATACCATTTTCTATATGCATAGTTGGAGCATATACTAAATGTCCCTTATTTTGTCACATTTTTATTTGACAGATGTGAAAATCAGGTGTCTTCTTTTGACAATTCGAGGAAAGATGTAATGGGGGAATCCAACTTATGCCTAAACTCAGGTTCTTTTGTTGCTTCTTATGAGGATACACTCGCATCGCCCCTCCCGATCACAATTCGGAATGGAGTGGAGAAAACACTAAATGTTGATGTCAAGGAGGAGGGATGGAAATGTACAGGCTTAATGGACAGAGAGGAGGAGAAGGAACTGCCGGTTTCGACTCTGAAATCAGTGAATGGTGGTCGGGCTTTAAACGCTTCTCTTATCTGTAAAAAGTGGCGAACTAGAAGATTCGCTCTTCAAACTAATGGTAATACAGCTAAAATTCGGGTTGAGTTAAACAAATTTTTGCACATAATGGTTAATTTTATAATCTTTTCATTTCGGACAAAAGATCGCATTTGTTTAATTCTGTCATGCCTAAATGTTGCTACAATTTTAATTTCTCTTAAGGCCTTCGAATGTTTCGCGTTTATCCGTTTGTGATAAAGTAGCGATGTTGCAAGCCATGATGTCGATTTAATCCCTTAGAGTGAAAGTCAAAGCCTCAAACAATTTCACTCAATCGTCATTTAAACTCCTAATTAAGCCACTATAGCAAGTTATTTCTGGGCTTTAAAAGTGTCTTAAAGTTGGTGTCAAAGCACTTTATTATATTTTTGCTATTAGTAATCTTCACCTATAGCCCAGAGAAGAACATATTACACTTGAGATTGTTATGAAGCGATCCATGCAAATTTGATGGATACATTTATTGTGGTACTAACTAGGAGGATCCCGTCTGCTGAACTGAATCAGCAAGATGATCCAATCATTTATTATGATCTCCCTTAAAATCAGTGAGTATCTCAAAAACCAACATGACAAATCACATTGATCGTAAACATGTTTAAAGTGAGAAAATATGTTTAAAATTATCATAAATAAATTAAATTATCAATATTAATCAGAAAAATATTGCAAAAGTTAAATAAATATAGGAATTTATACGAAATCCTTTTAGATTAGCGGCGCAAAGTGAATTAAGTGCGCTAAAAATAGAATCTGTATTGCGTGCAAGCAAATATTTAGTATCACAAGATAAAGTTTATGGGTCTGTATAGCGATATATATTTTCTTGAAATCTGCATCAAAAAGTTGATTTAAATATTAAGTATTTTTAATTTAATTGAAAAACTATTTACCACAATTTTTATCTAGGGATTTTAGAATCAAATCATTGATATAGTTTAAGTGAAAGTGTAATTATGAAGTATAAGGTTTTTTAAATGATCATATTTGAACGGTTTATACGTTTATATGTTCATAGGTGTAAGGTGATTAAAAATACCTTTGGATATATGGATAACCTCAAAAAAGTATTTTACAAGACAAATATTATCATTATTTTTATTAGTGAATTCGCTTATAGATAGATAGATAGATAGATAGATAGA